AGGATCAACCTCTAAAGAGTCTAAATTAACACTTTCATTTTGTTGATGTTGTTCCGACTCGTTAGCTATTTCTTCCAAGTTAGATAAATCTTGAGTTGTTGAATTTGATTTTGGAATTTTGGAAGTTGTTGGATAGTATCTCTTCATTGCAATTTAATCTGAATTAAAAATTTAAGTAACCACTTTATTCTTTAGATAAATCCTAAATAAGTTCATTATAACTAGAAAAAGGAAAAAAAAAATAAACTAGGAGCAAATCCCTACTACATACTCGTATACTCTAATTTCGGTATTTACAATCACACGAATAAGTCAAACTATGTTCACATGACCAGCACGACAACAACTTATAATTAACAATTTCATAACCCCCAAAATCATTTCCAAAAAAAATAATTATAAATTCAAAATTACCATCATAGATTTACAGTTCTAGTCATAAAGAAATAAAAAGGTAAAAGTACAAGCACTTAATAAAAAATTATCATCTCGAGAGACAAAAAATTAGTACTAACGTGGTGCAATTTAGGTTTTTTGGAGTTTGAAAACTGAAAAGTGGGCAGCAGTCCTTTTTATACTAATTGAGGGCAAAGAATCAGTCCTTTTATTCTAATTGAGGGCCAAAAAACGAGTATTAAATCCTATTTCAAAAGGGGTTTTTAATAATGGAAATTTACCTAGTTATACTATAATAGAAACTTTTTTTTTTAGGTTCCTTAAAAATTATATTCTTTATCTATATTTACTATTTATGTACAAAACCTTAATAAAGAGAGCATCCCTAAAACTAGAATGTAACCGATACATCCCTTTCCTCTCCCCTCCCCCGCGTCAGCCCCACCTCACTCTCATGTATATGAGTTATACAAAGACCCTAAAATCACTCTTTCATCATTTCAAAAAGATTTTGAAACACTTCTCTCTTTCATACAAATTAATCCAAATCCCATCCTCTTCACACAAATTCATCAACATTATCTCTAAAGTTCTCTAAAGTTGCAGTAGCAAAGAGTTCCTCATTGACAACCATTAAAAAGTTTCGAAACTTTGAATTCAACATTTTGGTTTTACGAATTTGTGATTTGTTCTAGCAAAGAGTTCTCCATTGACAACCATTAAAAAACTTCGAAACTTTGAATTCAACATTTGGGTTTTACGAATTTGTGATTTATTTAGATTGGGTGCTCTTGCAAACGATTGAGAATATAACTTGAAGTTTATATCTCAATTTTGAGGGAGATTGGTTAGGTTTAGAATTATTTTTAGGTAAAATTTCATATTGAAACTCGAAGAATAAAAGTTTCTGAATTGTATCACGATTGTATGATAATTGTATCATAATTATTTTTAATTGTATCACAATTGTATTAAAGTTGTATTTGACTTGTATTTGATATATCAATATCTAAATTAATACCTAATACAATACTAATACAATTATATTACAACATTGTATCAGAATTTAAGTTTATAGTTGTGATTGAAACTTGAAGAAGATGAAGATCAGAATTGTATCACGATTGTATCATAATTGTATTTGTATCATAATTGTTACAAAAATTGTATTACAAATGTATGATAATTGTATATGGTGATGAGCAATTGTAAGTTTGTGACCAATTTCACATTTGGATTGTGTGTGAGTCATTATCCTATTAGCAATAATTTTATAGAGTTTAATAATTTTTGAATTGTTGAAGAAACTTTTAGCAACTGATTTTTTTTGTCATCTCATGATATTTTATGTTGTGTGTATAGATTTCTAACTGCAAAGAAAAAATATCTTTTGGTGTCTATTATGGAAATCAGTTATGTATTATTGGATTTGTTAGATCAGGTATCACTTTCCTAACATTATATGGATAATAGGAACATAGAATATGTAGTATGACATTATATCTCGTATTTGAAGGTTCCAACCAAAATTATTCAACAACTGAAGCAAAATTACTAACTTCTTCCTGAAGACGTGCAACTATTGAAGAGAGAGAAGAGGAGATATGCGTATTAAAAAAATTAGGAGACATGAAATGAGGAGAAATGTGAAAAGAGAAAAGGATATAATTGAATCCCTTAATTGAAGGTATTAATCATGGGATGGGAGTTTTTTTT